TTTTTGCTTTCTTTTTATTTTCAATCTTTATGTAATCTTATATGAAAGTGTTTTTTTTTTTTTTTTCCTTTTTTTTTTTTTTTTTTTTTCCTTTTTTTTTTTTTTTTTTTTTTTTTTTTTTTGAATTGATTTAGTTGATTTTATTAATTGGTTAACTTTATAATATCAACAGAAGTTACTATGAATGAAAGAAATTAAATGTAATAATAAAATCTAGCATATATACAAATTAAATAAAGAAATTAATAGCTATAAATAATTTTTCTGCGGAATTTTATTAGTGGAACATTGATCTTGTGAAAATTGTAGTTTTCAGAATCCTAGTATTTACTACGGCAAATTCTCATGCAAATTACCTATAAAAGTCACCCTGAAAAACTCGGGGTCAAATAAATAAGCACCAAAATTAAAAAAAATCGCTATGCCATGGAAAACGTGCAAATTGCAAAAAGACTTTCTTTATTAGAAGAACAGAAAAATTTATTGATAGAAACCGCAAAAACACAAGGTTGGATTGACGACAACTCTTCAACATTAGAATACGACGATAGAGAAGATTTCGAATCGGAAAAACTTTCCGTTGTAAACATGGTTAATGCTGAAGAAACAATACTTGAACAACAAAGTCTTTCAACTATGGAATTTCGAGTTCATCATTTGGAAAAGTCGATCTTTGGGTTTGACCCTGTTGCCAAAAAAGCTTTAGCTTATGAAAAGCTTAAAGAACAATATTCATTACTAAAGAGAGTGGATGAACTCAAGAAAGAATTTAACACTATCATAATGGAGCGTGATGGAGCTGACGGTTTAAAGACCTTTCTCGAGATTTGTAAATATCATACCAAGAATCTTTACGCATTATTTTAGATTTCTTATAAATCATAGAGTTTTTTAAATTGTAACCTTTTTTTTTTTTTTTATTGTATAGACGATCAAGTGTCTGAACTCATATCTCCTTTTAAAGACTCTGCACTCGTCATGGAAAGAGTTATTCTGACACCTGAAGCCAAAGCAGAAATTGTTGCATCTTCAGCTAATGAACTAGAATTAGTCGCCGAAAATTTGAAACAAATTAATGAATTACAATCAATAATTGAAGCACCGGAATTCAAAAGTATTTGCTTATATAACAGATTGAATCTAACCTTCTCGTATTAAATTTATTATTGATTTACTTTTTTTTTTTTTCATTTTTAGGCTTTGAAAAACTTCTTCCCCAACTTACACCCATTGAAACCATTCATATAGATCAATCTTCAAAAGCTAATGAAGTCTCTGCTCGTATAACAAATTTACTAGACACATATAATGGGATTGTATCCTTTTTTAAAATATAATTTCAACAGTACATTCAGTACAATTAATCAAGAATTATCTTCCTTAATTCATAATTTTTTAATTTTTTTTTTTTTTAGGTTAATACACTTTCAGAAATTTTTATTTCTTGGGATCATATTCTTACGGCAATTGATGCAAATATATCTTTGCTTGAAAGAGCAAAAGGGTGATGAATTGGGGCCTTATAAAATTTATTATTTATAAATTAAAAGTTTCGATGATTAGATTCCTTACTTTATTACTCAAGATTCAAATATTTTGCATTCAAATTTTCATCAATCATAACTTATAGTATATTATTTTTTTTTTTTTTTCAATTATTTTGTTTACTATATTCGTATATATTACTTTGTAATAGAGACTTCATTTGATGGAATTTTTTTACAAATGAAATTCAACCAATTTTAACATGTTGGCATCATTTGGATGTCTCTTGGCAATTCCGGCACGGATTAACGTCTCAACATAAGGATTCCATACTTTACCTGGATCAAACTTTAAATAAGGGTTGTTAGGATTAGAATACGTTTGGTTCATCAAATCCTATTTTAATGTGATTATAGTTAATAAAACGTATTCGATCCGTCAATCATTTAAGTTTATTCATATGATGTACCTCTAGCATGTCTCTTAGAGATAACATTCTCTCGTTTTCGTTTTCTAAATCATCACTATTTTCTATCATCTTGCGTTCGTTGTAAGAGAATTTTTGTGACGAAATACGTTAAAAGAGTATAAACGAAAATAAATAAATAGCCAAAAAAACACTTACTTCCTGTGGAGGGAAATTGGTGTCAGCGAATTTCCTTAATTCATCCATTAAGATGTCGAAATCCTTTCTAACTGTATTGATCTTCTCCTTTATATCACTGTTTCAAATCAATCATTTTAATATATATTTTTGATAAAGATATAAGAAAAGGTAATATCGTACCCTATCTCTGATTTTTGAGTCATAGACCCGTCGTTCTGTTGAAGTTTTTTCAATTTATCCAATAAGGTGTCATGAATAATTTCACTTTCATTTAAAGTATCTCTCTCTCTAATAAATTAAGAAATAAAATTATAATAAAATTATTTTTATAGAATAAATCATATTCAAACTAAAGTACCTTATGATTTGATTCTTTATTTCATTAATCTCTTTATGTAATCGTGGTAATATATTTTGATAATTCTCGATGGTTTGGTGAACTTCTTTCATAACAGATAATTCACGAAGTACATGAGGTTTTGTTGTTACATTTCTTTGATCTAATAAATAAATTATGCCCCATTAGAAAATCTTCAGAAAATTACTAAATTAAAATACATTTCGGAAAAAAGAAAATATACTTTTTTTCTGCTCTACAATTTCTTCATCTAATCTTTTTTCTTCAGCTTTCATTATAGCAACTCTCTAAAATGAATTCGAGATATTTAACCAATTCCTTATTTTTTATTTTTAAGTGGCGCGAAAAAATACCTTTTCTTCTTCAGATAACGCGTTCACTGGTGTTTCAAAATGTTTTAATTTGGAACGTATCTAAAATGCATTAATTTACAGATTTAATTATTTGGCGCGTCACTCGCTCAAATTTACACTTACTTCATTCAGTTTCACGTATTCTTCTTCACATTGTCGTTTCAATGCTTGTAAGACTTGGTCTATATCTTGTTCTAAATTAAAAGGATTAAATGTGGGTTTAGAAATCAAATTATGTACGAGAGAGTTAATATTTGTGAAGGAAAGGCTTAAAGGAGTTCCTAAATCGGAGGAAGTGTTGGAATTTGGTGTGTTCATATTTAAGTTTAGGTGTTGAAAGTGATGAAAACCGATTTTAAAGTATTACACCAATATATCGTATGTAGGTTAATAACATTAGTAAATAATTCTTTTACAAGGATGATGAAGATATATAGTATAAGTAATCAATGTTTTCAGAATTATCACGTGTAAATAAATAAATATAAATATTATATATAAAAAAAAAAATACAAATTTAAAATTCTTTCTTTCTAATATAAAACTTATATTAAATAATCAAGGTGTTATAATATATAATCTACAGAATAACATATAATATTGCTTTTTAATACTTTAAATTCTTTGAACTAAATTGATATTGTTTTAGATAAAATTCAATTATCAAAATTTAATTTTAATATAAGTTTAATAGGATTAGATTATAGCTATACTTAATAATTTAAATATAACCTGATTATCACTTTATAATTCAACTATTATTTTATAATATAATATTTATTATTTAATTATCTTAATATAACCTATCTTAATAACCTACTTATATTTTTATAATATTAATATAATTTAATATTATTCTCTTTTTAGTACACTAGTTATTTTATATCTTCTGCTATTTATATTTATATTTTGAAATAATATAGTATCATTTTATAATATATCTACCTTTTACTTTATAATCTAATTATATTTTATTGCTAATTTTTATTTTTATAAATATTTTAAGTAATTTTTATAATTTTGATATTATTAGTTATCTGATTTGATTTAAGTTTATTTTGTGATTCTTATGATATTAATTGTCTAGCTTAATTTAAATTTATTTCTATAATCTTTTGTTGATAATATTTTTTAAATACTGTATTATTTATTAAGATGATATAGAACAGTATATAAAATCTGAATTAAAAATCATATGCATAGTATATACATTTTGTAATATAATATATATAATAAATTTTTGATATGCATTAAAAAGATAGTATATTCATAATATGTATACTATTAAATAATTAAAAAGATATGCACAAAATATATATACAGAGGGTGATCACGGATACCTGAACGATTAATTAAATTATTTGAATATACTTATTATATTAACTTTTTTTTTAGAATAAGCAAAAAATTTATTTGTTCTGAATATTTCCTATATATTTTATTAAAAAAAAAATAAAAAACTAATACTTTGTTAAACCACCTTCAGCTGCTATACATGCTTAAATGTGACAGGGCATACTTTCAACCAAATTTTGAATATACTTAAGTGAAATTGAACGCTAAGCATATTTTGTCTTATATTCTAAATCTTCTACATTTTTAGGTTGATTAGGCAAGTTACAAAGTTTTTTATCAACTTTATTCCAAAGATTTTTAATAAGATTTAAATCAGGGCTTTGTGTAGGTTAGGGTAGCATAAAAATCTTAGAGGAATTATGAACATTAGCAACAATTTTTGCTCGATAAGGTAGAGCATTATTCTCTTGAAAAATTTCTTATTTGCGAAGAATTAATTTGTAAATTGAAGTAATAGCATACTTCTGTAACACTTTTGCATATCTTTGTTTTGTTACAGATTCGTGAAGAGAAATAAGAGGTCCTAGCCCATTCTACGAAAAGCATTTCTAAAACATTCAACTAGGACTGTGCTTTACTATAGCAGTTAAACAAGAAGGGTCAAATTCTTCTTCTGATGTATGCTACACACGTAAGCTACGACTTTGTGAAAATTGGCTAAATGTTGATTTATCAGACTATACAACTTTCTTCCATTTTGTAATTGTCTAATCTTCTCATTCTAATGCTCAAGCTAATCTTTTTTCTTTATTATTTTTAGAAATTAATGATTTAAAGTGGGTAACACATGAACATAAGCTGACTTTTTTAAGAGTCTAATGAATTATAATAGTTGAAACTTTCTTTTTTTTTAGTCTATAATTCTTGAATTTTTTGAGTGATAAGGTGACAATACTTCAAATTATATATACCGGGGGGGGGGGGACAAAAATATTGCACAGCTTAAAAATAAAAATTTAAATAAATTTTTTATAAGTTATTAGCCATGTGATTTTTATA